CCGCTCCCCCGGAGAAGCAAGCGACGGCGGCGGCGGGCGGCGGGCGCAGCAGGGCCAAGGCGAGCAGCAGCCGCCGCTTGCGGCAGGCTGCGGCCGCCAGGCCCCGCGGTGCCCCCAGCACCGCCATCTTGCGAGGGCCAGGGCGCAGGGGATTGTGGGACGGCGGCGGACCCGCGGGAGGGGTGGGGCGAGGCGAGGCGGGTCTGGCCGCCCTGAGGGGGAGGTGGCTCGGTGGTTGGGCTCGGGTGCCCTCTGATCCATAGTGGCGAGCAGAGAGGGGCTGCCCTGGGTCTCCCCCTGGCATTCTGTGAGAGGAGCTGCCCCATGGTGGCCCAAGATGGGCAGCTTTGAGCACCACCATAGCACTCTGACAGGGGCTGCCCTCAGATCCACCATGGCACGCTGAGAAGGGCAGCCCTCAGCCGTACCATGGCGCCTTGAGAGGAGCCGCCCTCATTCCCCATAGTGCCACGAAAGGAGGTGTCCTGAACCGTGGTACCCTGAGCGAGCAGCCCTCAGCCCCACCATGGCACCCAAAGAGGGGCTGCCCTCAGCCCCACTGCTGGTTGGACTCAGGAGCAGCCCTGAGTCCTGCCATTGCACTCAGAGGGGCTACTCTGTCGCATCATGGAGCCCAGAGATGAGCAGCCCTCGGCCCTGCTATGGTGTCTCAAGTGTCCCTGAGTGCCACCATGGCAATGCCAGAGGAGCAGCCCACAGCCCTAGCAAAGCACGCAGTGAGAGGGGCTGCCCTCATTCCCACAACAGCATACAGAAAAGAGCTGCTCTCAGTCTTGCCATGACACCCTGAGGGGGACAGGCACACCCCTGCTGAGCTGGGGATTTACCAGGCCCTTCTAAGCCAGAATGAGCCAGGCCATTCTGAGCCATGCCCCTCTCAGAAGCCTTTCTATTCTGACTGTGCGGATAAAAGCCTTCTCTTTGAGACACTGCACTGTTGGAATATGGGTATCCTCAGCAGAAACAGCACAGCTGGAAACACCGCTCGTGTTGGTCAGCAGCTCTGTCAGTACTTCATGCAGGGTGCTCCTTCCAAGCTGCTAGCACTCCCATGCTTTGTCCTGATGCAGCTGGACACTGACATCGCTGCAGACAGAAAGAGGTGCTCCAGCTGGCACACAGTCCCTCTGGATTTTGGGTCCCTCACAGAGCAGCTGCCCCGGCAGTTTCCTTGCCTGGGGCTCAGAAAAGCCCTGGCTGCAGCACCATGAGGGAGCACAGGCCAGAGGGGAGGGTGTGGATGGCATGTGGGATGATACATCTCCATACAGACCTAATCCTCTATTCCACACCCTTCCCAGGGTTAAATTCTGAGCTACCTCAGAGACCTCCTCCAGCCCACAGCCTCCTCCAGCCGTTCCTTTGAGCCAGAATAATGCAGCAATAGTACAGTTCCTAATTAAACACCCACTTAGGAAGATAGAGCTATGCCATGGATTACATTTCCAATGGCCTATATACTCCCATGTGATCGGCATGCAGAGCTGTCAGAAGGCTGTAACTCTGTGTGGCATTTCTAATCACACAAAGATTTCTTCAAAGCTACCAGAGCTTGACTGCTGATGCTCTTGCCTTGAGGGAGAGTTGTAAGCTCATTTGCAGGGGAGAAAGACAGACAGACAGACAGAAAGGAAGAGGACAATTGGCTTAAAGTTGATTTTTAATGAGGCAGGATTTCTGTAGTCTGTACTTTGATACGCAACTTTGCTCCTGACCAGGATCCACTTCAAACGACAGAGACGACATTTCTCTGGCACTAATCTAATTCTTCATCATAATTGCATTTGGCAGAGCTGGGTCTGAACAGTGCCTCCCCGTGGCATCATTCAAAGGGATAAACAGGAATTCTGGGCTTCTGGATTCCATACATCTGCTTCCTTCCCTATGCTGTGCTCTACATGCAAGTTTGACCAGGCAAAACGGGATAATCACAGCTGTGTGTGGGATGGCCTGGACAGACAGGCTGGCCAGCATGGCAGCATCTTTGCAGTGATTTCAAATGTTTCTGCAATTTTCCTACATGCACTGCTGCAATGGTTTCATGCACAGTGTTTGTGTGCACATGTGGTGCTTTATGGGCCAATCCAACATGCAGGCTCTCGGCCCTGTGAAATGTGTCCAGTGTTTTGACCATGTCAAGCTCTTTGGACTTGTGCTATATGGAATATCCAACACAGGGATAACAGCACCCTGTGCTGTGGTGTCACAGGATCTCACAGCTCCAATGCCTTTAACAGAGACTTACAAATCCCTCAGCAAACGTTTATTGTCAAACCACACAACCCCTGCATCATCTCAGCCTTGTCTTTGTTAATAATGTACCATTTTATTTTTTCCAAATGTAATATATTTGATATGAGTATTTTCCCTGCAAATTTTACTTTAGCTGTTCATTCTTCTTTAGTAACTCTTCCACATGGCTTTATTTCCTCCTGCTAATATTTCAGTCTTGTTTCCTGTTCTGATCTTCTCTTTCTCCTTTTGATACCACTTTATTTATGTGATCCCAGATTGCTGATACCTGTACAAGACACTGCTCAAACCCTGAGAGACACTCAGGGTGAAAAGAGCCCACATTCCTGTAGTAGTTGCAACCTCTATCCCAGAGTGACTGAACCAGGAGAACAGAGCTCATGATAGAGACACAGAAAGCCAACAGAGGAGTTTTATGAACTTACACTGTTTAAAGTAGCTTACCACAAAATAAATATCTATTTCTCTGCAGATTTAGCTGTGGAAGCAGAGGATCTCCTTGGAGACAGACAAATCAATGCCTGCTCCAGAGCTGGCACTCTGGAAAGATGACAGAAGCAGCTCAGTTGAAGAAATAGAAGCTCCAGTAATGGAAATAACTCACCACAAAGGAGATTTGTGAATAGAATAATAAAGGATATCTAATCTGGCCTTTTCCCAGGAGCTGTGTAGACAACAAACCAGGGCTTGAGACCAAGGCCAGTGTACTAAATGAGAACATGATAGTTTTTTGGCTAGAAAAGTTTACAGAAGCAGCTCAGCAACACAAATACAACACCCATCTTGTGGAGGTGAAATAACATTTTATTTAGAGTTTCTTGAAATTCTTAGCTTCTTTCTCATTAAAGGTGCTTAATATGATTCTAGCACTGTAATGACTTTCACTTCTAGCAATAAGTATTTATATCTTCTAGAAGTCAGATTTGTAATTAATACCATTCCTACAAAATGGAAAGAATCAACACTGAATTCCAGATAATCAGTATGCCAAAGGGAGACTGAAACCTCTGTTCTGTATGGTAACATTGACAGTTCCAGCTGTGGCAGGCATCAGCCTAAAAGAAAGTCCCCCAGGTCTATGGGAATCCAAATCAATCCAGGAGTCAGGCTAGAGGAAAAAGAAAAGTGTCAATATTCAAATGTCACTTACAATCAATGGTATTGGAAGGCTATGAACACAAGGAGGGGAATGCTTCAAGGAAGTATATGAAGCAAGAGGGAAAATTAATGAGAACGAAGTAATGCAAAGAAAATAAAAATAGAAAAACAGGACAAGGTTAAGGGCAGATAGAAGCCCTTTTTCAGAGGTGTAAAATAATTTTGGCAAGTAGAATGTGTGCTGAAAGGCACAGTGCTCTTTTGGAGATAGAAACTGTTGCATTTATTTCTAGAAAAATATGAACTATTAATCCTCAGACCTTGCATTTAACAACTGAGCAGCTGCACACACTTTGGAAATGTAGTCTGAATTATATCTCACAGCCAATTAAATAAGTAGCATAAAAAAGCCATATTTTAAAATGTGTTTGATTGTGTTACAAGAACGACATGTCCAGTTGTTTTTACTGAAAATGTGGTTAGGCATTGGAAGGAGTCCCTCAAGACAGTGGTGGAGTTACCATCCCTTGAAGCATTCAAGAAGTAATTGAATGTGGCACATCAGCCCAGCACAGAGCAGAGGCATCCAGCCTTGCCCAGGTCATGGATTTACTGCCTGTAGGAAGATGAAACCTGCAGTGAATCCACAGCAGTTTGTGACTCTGTGATGTCCTGATCCCTTTGCCTTCTCCAGGTTTTGTTCCAACCTGTGCTCTGGCTCACTGCAAATACACCAGGCCATGCTTGAGACTTTTTGGCTGCTACCGGTTGCTTTTCTTCTTCCCTTTTTTTCCTTTGTCCCCTGCTAATCCAGTCACCTCCCCTGAAGTGGCCGAGGCTGTTATTCCTGCCAAGGGAACGAGGGCACACAGAGCCTTCTGTCCGCAGAGCGCTCGCCTTGGCCCAGGCACAAATGGGAGCTTTCCTTTCCTCCTGGTCAGAAGGCACCACTAAGGAGGTGTTTGGCCATGGAAACTGGTAAGAGAAATGCACAATATAAAGGAAGATTTACAGTGTAAAGTTGAGATGTCGGGAGGAAGGTGGGAGAAATGAAGGAATAGGCAGGGACAGATTTGGGGGGGCTCAGAGCCTGTTAGCAGCACAGTTTAATGGGGCCAGGGGAGCCTCAGAGGCTGTGACCCTGCTGGAACTGCCTGACTTGAATAAGGAGGTTTTTAGCCTTGCGAGGCAGGGTTGGGTGTCTTTGGGGTGTTTGGTGGAGCAAGGAGCCTGTCAAGGAATGGAGAAGCCTGGAAAGTCCTCTGGGACCCATCTCACCTTCGGTCCTTGCGCAGCTCTCTCAGGCACATTGGAAATTTGTCTTTCCCCTCAAGGTCAGCGACAGCCTTGAGCATCTACTGGGTATGTCTGGAACATGGGGGCAAAGAGAAGGTGTGGACTGAACATCAGCTCTGCTCCTGCAGCTGCTCTGAGACAGCACTCGGGGGGGATGCAAACAGCCAGGAATGCTGGGGGAGTCTGTCTGCAGCAGGGGGCTCAGGCTGCACTGCTGGTTTGGGTGGCTTGGGATGGTTTTCTGACAAAGCTGTAAGGCTTGACAGGTGTGCCAGAGAGGAAAGGAGAAGTTCAGTGTGTGCAGCTCATGATTGCAGCTTTCTTCTGCAGGAATGGCTTCGGGCTCAGTAAGAAGGACTCACTGTTTGCAGGCTCAGTGCTGTTTCCCACAGCATGCTGTTGCTTTTGAATCACACACCAGGACCTGGCAAGGAAAGAGGAGGAGAGAGCATGAGTCCCTGCCTTCCTTTTCTCAATCAATTTCTCTTTTTTAAGGGAACTTTTTGGAAAAGAAAGCCTTTTTTATATATATTACTGCTACATACCTATATGCCTGTCTGTGCAGAAAGCTGCATGGAATAATTGAGCTTTACACCTTTCAGAATTGCTGCCACTAAATTTCATAAATTCCTCCTTAAAAAAAAAAAAAAAAAAAAAAAAAAAAAAAAAAAAAAAAAAAAGGCGATGCCCTGCCAGAACCAGCGCCTCGGCCCGCGGCCGCAGGATGAGCCGCCGGCGGCCGCCACGGCCACGGCGAGCGGAGGATCCCGGCTGATCCGCTTCGCTGAGCCCAGCGAGGACAGCGGCTGCCCCAGCCCGGACAGCAGCAGCAGCAGCAGCAACGGGGTGGTGGCGGCGCCGGTCCCCGCGGGGGAGGGCGGCGCGCCGGCCATCGGGCCGCAGCTGAAGCTGCTGCCCATGAACGACCAGCTGCGGGAGCTGCAGACTATCATCAGGGACAAGTGAGCGCGCCGGGCCGGGTCGGGCCTCGTGGGCTGGGGAGGGGCCGCGGCGGGCCGGGGAGACAGTGGGGGATCGTCGCTTGTCGCTCACTCCATCCTTCCACAGCCCCGCCGAGCCGCTCTCAGCCGGCCGCTGGTGCTGGCTGCCCGGCTCGGCGCTGCCGCCGGAGGGCAGCGTGGCGGGCGCTGCCTGCGGGGTCCCGGCGGGCCGGGCTGTCCCCGGCGGGCCCGAGGGCCGAGCCCAAGGCCGGCGGGACGCGCTGCCGTGCCGCGTGTGCCGGCTCGAACGCCTGGGCCGGCGGCGCGGCCATGTCTGGTGGCGCGGGCCCGAGGGCAGGGCAGGGCAGCGCCCGGCCCGCGCCCAGGGCGGGCAGAGCTCCCGGCGGCTCCCTGCCCACCCGCGCCGCGGGGCTGCCAGGGACCGAGCGGCTCGGCGGGTCTCTAGCCCCTCGCACACTTGGACAGTCCCTGATGGGGGTGTTGGCTCACCTCCGCCCTGCGGGCGGCTCGGAGCCTGCGTGCCACATCATCAGCACCAGGAGCGAGCAGTACAATGTATGTAATGCCCCAAGGGCTTACATAGGGCTTGCACCTTACAAGGGCTTGCACCTTAGGGTCCCGCGGGCGGGCTCGGCAGCAGCTGGGGCTCATCACCGCTCTCTGGAGAGCGCATCCTGCAGGCAGCATGGGGCGGGGAGCCGGTCCCAGGCTCTAAATGGAGACACCTGTGAGCACCATGTTCCACAACGCAGCTCAGGTGCTGAACACGTCCCTCCCACTGATCACGTTTGTAGCTGTGCTTGTTCAGCACTGAGAAGGTGATAGTGGAAAGTGTTAAATATAGCGTACAACACAAGACAAACTCCAGTAGTATCCATCTAGTTATTAAAAACTACTGGTTTGCAAGAACCACCAGCAAAGAGGTGTGAAATCAAGCCTATCAATAGAGTGATCAGGGTCTGAATAAAACCCTCTCTTCCTGTGACACAGTGGCTTTCTGACATCTGCAATAGTCATTGCAGAGACACTCTTCCTTGCTGTGTTTCACATCTGCCCATTTGCATAGTCCATGTTTTGCTGTTTTCTGGCTCTTGAGGCTCAACTTTGTAGCTAACATTTTTTAATTCATTTTTTAATGCAAAACTGATCATCCATTAATTTTATTAACTTAGCTGAACCTCCTTACCTTAAACTAGTTTGTGGAGGATTTTCCTTAATTTTCAAAGCATTGTGGAAAAAGCAAAACCTGGCAGCAGGAACACCAGAGGCAGTGCAGCCTTCATGTAAGGAGGGCACTTTTGACAAGACCACACAGAAGATCTCTGCAGGTGAGAACACCCACCTGGCAGCTTCTCTGTGGAGCAGAAAAGGAAGCTGGAAGTGAACTAAGCAGAGAGGGAATCCAAACTAGGCTTGGTGATGGCCTGTGAAAGGTTTTGAGCTTAGTGAAAACGATATAGTTTTGATGTCTGGACAAATACTAGCAATGTAATTACTTTACTCAGGGGTTTTAGTATTATTATTTGTTTGTACACAGGTTTTGACCTCTTTCAAATACATTTAAGAGGTTTCTGGTTACAATGAGCTTATCCAGAAAGCAGCAGCTGCAATTTTAACTTGAAGGACATTTTTTAGAGTTACATCTGCTTCATTGCACAAGACTTTGGTAAGAGGAAGTCTAGAACAGGACTTGTAAACAGTGAGTTACTCAGAGCAGCTGCAGCAATTGCAGGCTGTACTTTATTCTGAGTGTGATGTTGCCCTGGAAGTGGGGATGGAGCTGTCACTTCCAAGTTCCCTTCCCAACCAGTGAGGAAAATCGGGCAGCAGCCTGCTCAGAAAGGTTGAGTTTGTAGGTAAGGACGGTAGGGAAATATTATTTTTGTGTTCTGTCCCAGGAATTCAGCTGCATCTCATTAAGAGACCTCGGACTGACCTATTTTCATACCTGTCATTCAGAAAGATGCTGAATTGAGAAGAGGATTTTTTAGGCACTGTTCATTAACCTTACCCTGGACTGCTGCAATCTGCCCTAAGACAGCTCTGTAGCTACTGTAGCATTCAAACCAGGTGCTAAAAGAAACTCCTTCTCCTCAGAACTGTGTTTGTGAACTGGCAGCAATGTGGCTCAGAGCAGCTACTGGTCAAAAATCCAATTTAAGCTGATAAAGAGGTATGTTGACATACAGTGCTTGGGAAGAAGGAGAAGCTGTCATCTACAGGAAATCAGAGCCCTGTCACTTAGACTTTCTGGATTAAAAAAGAGCAGGTAACACCTTAACTCAAGGAGAATATTTAGATTCCTCAGTGCTGCAGGGGATGGATGTTCCAAATACAATACCTGAAAATGCCAGACATTAAAAGGCAAGCTCCTGGGGAGGGAGAAATGGAACAAAAGTAGGGAAAAAAACCCAGTCAATTTGGGACTATTACTGTAAGTGAGGAAGGGGTAAATACTCAGAGAGATAATCCCAGTGAGCTGGGATGGAGCTAAGGTCTGGTCAGGCCAGATGAAGAAGACTTTGAGGACTCTATTTTGTCCGTAGCATAAGCTGCTCAGAGAAGTGGAAAGCTCTTTCCTTGTTCCTGAGAGGGTTCAGAGAAAGAAATCATGGCCTTTCAATTGGTATTACTGTAAAGGAAAAAACACCTTCATGTGGCTGGTCATGGTGTCTCATGGGATTCAGAGGTGGCTGGCTGGGACAGGGATGTCCTCCTGGCAGACTGAAATGGCACTTTTGCTTCCTTAGAGTTAACAAGAACTTAGTCTGTGTGCCAGAGCTGGGGAGATGGATAGATCACTTCACTGTGCCTGGGCTTCCTCATTTTCCCTCAGCCCTGTCACTTTTCTGCTCAGCAAGTGCTTAATGGGGGCAGGTGCCTTTTGTACTGAGTGGGAGATGGACCTCGAGTGCTTTAATGGGATGTGAGCTGATGCACTGAAGTACTGAACATTCTAGAACAGTTACAGTCTCTTTTCAAGGAGAGAATGATCTCAAGGTAATTTCGAGCCTCAGATGTGAAGCAGGGATCTGGAAGCTGAAATGAATAGTGCAGTGATGTGTTTATATAGAAGAAAATTCATTAGCTCAGGTTGGCAGTGCCATTTTAACTCATGATTTAACAGGAACTACGATTTAAATCCAGGTACTTTAAGGATCTTGTGTCTGTTGGGTGAGATCGTTCTGTGGTATTCTGCTAAAGCTTCTTATTCCCTAAGGAACAGAGTCATAACATAGAAATGCAGATGGCAGAGAGGCTGGATGTGCAGTCCTGGCTGTTGCACAGAGCAGGGGGATTCAGGAGGGTGTAACTCACCTGTGCTGGGTAAGGACAGCTGCTGCAGGCAGGGAGGGTGGGATCCCTAGGGAGGGTGGGATCCCTCTGCATCCCAGCCCCTGCATGGAAAAAATTAAGGGCTGCAGTCCATTAAGTACTGAAGTGCTGCAGGTAGAACGTGGACCTGTTCCCAGTTACATCACCTCCCTGAGTGCCAACAGCTCATCCAGTGCCTTCAGTTTTCTTAAAAACCTTTTACAAATCCTCTGTAGGGAAGTGGCTTTTTTCCAGCCTGGCCCTCACCCTGGCTGTCTCTCAACAATTTCTGTGAGGAAATGAGAGAAATGGGAATTACTGACACCCCAATACCTGCAGACCTGACAATGTCACTAGAACCAAGTGCTAAAGCAGGAACAAACCCTGCAGCTACTTTATATTACAATACAGCCCCAAAAAACCCATGTCTTCACACCTCCCAAGACAGACACTGTGATATCAGCCACACTCCCCTGCCTTCAGAAACAAAGTGAAACTCATTTATATTGTGTAACACAATGTTCCTGCTACAAGTTAGGTTTTAATGCCTCATATTTTGAGACGTTGTCTTGTTACTTGATGAAGCGGCTGAAACAGTTTCTAGTCTGCCATAAATTGTTGCTTTATGTATTTCTATCTTGTATTTAGGAAGAGCAGTTACAGTGTTTTCACATAAGCCTTTTTTTTTTTCCTGGCCCCTGGCAATTCTGACAGGATGTGGGGTTTGAGACGTGATCTCAGCTTTCCAGCTGCCCCTGTACATGTGCTCTGACATTTTCTGTATTACTGTTATTTGTATGCGTTGTCATTTTCTGGTGCCCTCCCCTTCTCAAAAAACAGGTATGACCAATGAAGGGTGTTCAGTGAACTGTGCAGAGGAACATCTGTGTCTCTGCAAGGACAGAGGAGTTGGTTCAAAGCCTCGTAATCTGCATTAATAACTCAAAACACATTATCACTTTGCAGTCAAAACTGTGGTCTGGACATTATTGGGTCTGTCTTACACCTGTTTGTGAAATTCAGCTAAATTTTCTGAAATTTCTAGGTTCTGGAAGAACCTAGATAGGCAACTTAGCTACTTCCTCTTTTCAAAATACTTACCTACACCACAGATAGAAGTATGAGACTTTCCAAAAGCCTTAATAAAATTGGGTCATATAATTGTACAGATTTGGGTGGGGTTTTTTCCCCCAGTTTTTGGGGTTTTTTTGAGCATTGCCTATCCAGTTAATGTCAAAATAGCAGAAAGTTAGGAATATCCTATCAGTACCAGAAAGAAGGAAAAAAAAAGCAAACAGTATTTTAACAGTGTGTCATTAGTGCAAGGAATGAAACCAGATTAAGTTAATGCTCTTTTGAAACCTCTTTTTTTAAAGTGGGAATAAGTGACTGGTTTCTAGGCAATGAGCAGGCAAACCTTTTGACTTTCATTCATGTGAGCATGAGGTGTCTCAGAATCTTGGAGATTAAATTCAAAATGGCATTTAAGGAGACATGCAGAGTATTAGGGTTTGAAAACATGAGAGGGATTAATAGAACATTTCATTTAGAAGTACCTCTTACCCTGTTGGTGCTGTGTCTCAGGGTTTTCAAAGCCACTGTCCTGTGAGTGTTGGCTCCTTGATCAGAAATGTGTCCTGTTCTGGTGTAGTAAGAGTTGCTCTTGGCATGGGAAGCAAGGTGTTAAAGCTGCTTTCAAAATTCAGGCTTTTTTAACCTTTCATTTTGCCTTCTGAAGGGGCCAAAAGCCACACAGGCACACGAGCAAAAGGTTGTACCCAAACTTATAAGAGGCAGAGAGGTGTTTTCATGGGAATGCTCATTAATCCCTGCTCAGTTTAACCTCACATTCACTGATCTAATCACACTCAGTGAGTTCCAGATAAGATAGGATGTATCTCCTGCTTATCAGGTGTGTTGTCAGCCCTGGGTTAAAGATCTGCATGATCATTGTCCCACAGCTTCTGTCTGACAGCAGGACGGGCAAGCAAAGCTCACTTGCTCAGGGCTGCAGGGAATGCAGGAATATCTGAGCTCAGGAGGTGTTTTGGAACTGAGCTGGAGCTCAGCCATGGGAAACCTAGAGAACATCATCCTCTTGTGTTTAATTGCTACTGGTACAGAGCAGCAGCAGTGCCAGCAGCAAGAGCCAAACCCCAGTGCTGGGTCACTGCATCTCTGCCACCAACCAGGAAACCCAGGACACAGAACCTCTGGGATAAATTCAGTATGTGATAGGAGACATTTCTCTGAAGTGCCTTGGAATATAGTATTTAATATTGTATTTAAGCAACTTCTTAAAGTTATTCCCCAACTTAACATGTAAATTATTACCTTTTCCAGGAAATCCAGTAGAGGAGACTTCGTGTTTTCTGCTGATCGTCTGGTAGGTGAAGAATTTCTTGTTCTTGATGTTGTACTTTGCAACAATGGGTCTTTCAGGACAGAGGAATGGGAGTGTGACAGTGACTTTTCTACCCAAAGGAAATTGCTGTATGACTGCAGCTTTCTGTATAGGGACTTCTGTTCACTGTTTCATCTCAACAGGTTCCAGAAACCATTCTGCTACCAGACACAGCTGCTTGAAGACAGAGGCCTTCAGTAATAAGAAAATTCTGTTCAAAAACAGATGCACAGAGGTTGCAGATAATTGAGTTTTAGTTTGAAGCAGCACTTTTGATCTTGTGAACAGAGCAGTACAATTTCTTACAGATGTTACCAGTTGCTTGCATGCAGAAGTGCCTCCTGGCACTTGCTGTGTATTAGATTATTAGCTCTGGGTGCATCCACATGGAGAATTTGTCTTTAGCCATGTGGTGGTTACAGGCAGGGACAAAGCAGTTTGAAGTTTTCACATGTTTTAGTAAGTCAGAACAAAGACTGCTGAGAGTGTAGCCTTTATCTCATTTAAATTACAAGCTTAAAGAAAACCCCAGCACTTGCTACCACACACGCTTGTGTCCACAACAGTGTTTGTTTTTTACAAATCCACTCTCATTTAACAGAGGGAAGTGTTTTTCCCCTTCCAGCATAGTCCAGAGACCATTCACAGTTACAGCCCCAGCATGCAGCTTTCCTGTGGTGAGCCCAAGCTTAATCCAGGCTTGCTCAGGTTTGACTGCAAGCTAAGATTGTGACTGCAGTGCTGTTTATCTTCATGGCTTTCCACTTTCACCCCACTTTCTCCTTCTTGAGGATGTTTCCTGCATTCCAGTACCTTACTGTCAGTAATAAGTGTGAAGGACCTTTTTCCATGTACCTTCTCACCTTTCTTGGGTGTCCTGCCCTGTTCTGAGGCAAACACTGATTTTTTTTTTCCCCCTCTCATTGCTGGACACTGCAGATCCAGGCAGTGAGTTCAGGTCCTTGCACCAGTGTCCTCTGTGTGCTGGTCCTGCAGCTCTTTGCCACAGAACCTGCTCCTTTGTTTTCCATCTTGTAGGAGGAATTTTGCGCAAAAGAATATGTAGGACTCTCATTTTCTGAATATTTTTCCTAGGTGTGACAAAGAACAGTTATAATTTCATGTGGGATTTGGTCTCTACTAAACTTGGCAAGGTGCAAACAGTTATGACTTGTCATGTTTTTCACCCAGAGAGCAAACAGAGTTTAATGGCAAGAGGCAATGTGTGAAGAAAAGTGTGGGATTATAGGGGAAGAAAATACACCTTGTTGCAGTGAGGAAATGAGAGTGAAGTTAAGCTTGGGCAGAAGAATGAAGAGAATGAAGTTAAGCTGCCTTGGCAGCTGTTAGGGGCAGTGTCTCCTGAGGTCACTAGAGGGAGAAGTCTTAAGGAGGGATTCTAAAGGTGATGGATTTCTGGTGGTGCAGTTTGTTCACACATAAGGGGATGACACAAAGGAAACGTTTGAAGATACTTGTGAGAAAAAGGAGTTACTGGGCAGTGGAGGTTGGCAGGGAGTGTCTGAAAGCCACTGCCGGGGCTGTGATCCTGAAACTGAAAGAAGTGAGGTTAAAGTCGTGTGGAGGAAGGACCAAGACAAACCTGTGTGGTGTTTGTGAAGGAGGAGAAGCAACCCCTGGCATGGGAGACAGTCCTTATGGCTGCTGGTGGTGGAACTGGGGACAGCTGGAACTCAGGGCAGGTGCTGGGAAGGGCACAGAGCTCCTCTCGGGACAGGAGCTCCCCCTGATCCCAGCGCCCGCACTGGAGGCACTGAACTGGTGTCACAGCTGCTGCTGCTTTGCAGCAGAAAGCACATTTTGGGGGGTGCCTGGAGGCCCGAGGAGGAGCCATGAATTCATTTCTCAGCCCTACCAGCAGCTCCCTGTGTAACACTGCCCAGGTCACTTCACCTTTCTGCCCTCCTGCCTCTTTCAGGGGGTGAGCATTCAAAATGGTTTGAAATGCTGAGCTGCAAAGAGCTGTACAGATGCAGAGGATGTCCTGCCTCCTCTTGAGCTTCCAAGAACAGCCACACATAATGGCTTAGAGGATTTTCTACCTTGGGACCAAAGCCTGACTTCCTGTTTCATGTGGGGCTCTAGTAACACTGCTTTTATCTTCTAAGCAATGGCACTCACCTTTCTGGGAGAGGAGCAGCTGGTTCTTGGGGCATGAGAGAAGAGAGGAGGAAATTAGTCCTTGAGTGTGGAGGTGGCAGGAAGTACAGTGCAAAAATAAATGTTTTATCAACACTGACAAGTTTACAAATAATCCTTCCAGCCCCTGTGTAAAACACTGATAAGTGTAGGGAGATCACAGAGATTATTTGACCATAAGACCTTTACTGGATTACTCTAAACTTTTGGTAGATTATGTGGAGCAATGTCAGCACTTCAGCAAGATGAAAAAGGCTTTTCTTCCAAACCTGGCAAATTGTTGGTTGGCTTTTTTTTTTTTTTTTTTTTGAACTAAGTTCAAAAACATAAAATAAAATTGGGTACAAATGTCCCAGAAACTATCTGCAACCTCTGAGTATGGCTGCCACAAACACAGCTCTAAGAAGAAAAAGTTGTATTAAAATGACTAAAAATACCTTGAAAGAGAGATTATAAATGTAAGGGGCCATTTCTAGCAGAGGCTGCGTGTGTGCCAGGGACTGGGGCAGAATGGAAGGACAGGAAAACCTTCCAGGCTGCCCTCTGGAATAAGAACTGCCTGAGGTGAGCAGTACCTGCTCCATCCCAGGAGCAGTGCCTCACTCTCCATCCCACAGTGAATTTTGAATAATCAGTGATTTTTTTAGTTAAAGCTCTTGCTTGGCAGTAGCTTTCCTTGAGCAGTTCTGGGCTGTGAATCTTTGGCTCACGAACAGAGAGAATTCTCACATCTTTAATCCCCAGAGCATCCTCCAGGACAGTCATTCTGGCTGCAGGTGGATGTGTTTGGTGCTTTGCAGGGCAGCACCAGGGGAGGCCTGGGAGCTGCCCCTCCACCTGCACCATCCAAAAATGCAGGGATTGGCAGCACCACCTGGAAACCAGAGCTGGCAGGAGTGGGAGGTGAAGGTGATAGAGACTCTTGGACCTGCTGACTTGTCTTTGGGCACTGGTGGTGTGTGTGCATTGCTGCAGCTTCTGGGGCTGTTCTGGCAGCCCAGCTGCAGTTTAGTCCCAGAAACAGGGATGTGAAAATAGAGCCTGGCTGAGGGGGAACTTCACCCTTCCCTCACCGGGATTTCCTGTCAGCAAATGGAGTTACATTGGTGCCTCACTCATCTGTTGAGAAGAATTTGTCTGTGAAGCCTCTGCCCAACAGATGTAAATAAAGTCAGTTTAATGATTGCTTATGAACCCCTCTCTTCTCCCAGTTTTGTTCTGCAATGCCTTTGTTTGAATTGTGGCCAAAACATAGGCCTCACCCCCAAAAGGTCTCTAGCAGCAATTAGGGACTGAATTTAAAGAGACCCTTTTAGACCATTTGGGCTCATCCAGGTCCAGTCCTTGTAACTGCTATGTAGTGCCTTATCTCCAGAGATAACAGTCCCTTAAAGATGGCTCACCTCTTTGGTTCCACAGATCAGACTCGTGGTTGAAGAGGGACTGAATCAACTGCCCTACACAGAATGTACTGTGACCACTCCAACAGGTATGTGGGAAATCACCCCTGGCCTGGGTCGGACTGGAGGTGGAACTGATATCAAAATACACAGAATTATTACAAGAGTTACAGGATATCCTGAGCTGGAAGGGACTCAGGATCATTGAGTCCAACTCCCTGCTCCTCAGAGAACTGCCCAAAACTGAACCCTGCAACATCCAGATGGTCTTTGAACTCTGACAGACTTGGTGCCACGAGTGCTTCCCTGGGAGCGCTGAGCAGGCAGAGTGACTGTCCCTGCTGGTTTAGAAAGCTACAAGGCACATACCACAACTGAGCAAAACAGTCAACATTGTCTTTTCACTAAGGATTACAGTGGTCTTGCAAAACCATGAAGAAAATGTACCAATGTATGTGCAAGATCAGTTCACCTGCCCACACCACAGCATTGAACTAAAACTGATGGCATTTCACATGCCCATTAAGGGAAAAAGTGCTTGGCACAAGCAGCTTTGCTTTGCCAGCCTAAATCTGTCCATGCAACTGGGGCCAGCTGGGAGTGAGGATGAGCAGGAAATGCAAAGTGGCACTAGAGAAAACCATTGCAGGAGTTGTGGGTCCTCCTGTCAGCTGTAAAGATCTGTAAGGTTACAGCTACTCAGGTGTGCAGTACTCAGAGGCAGCTGCTGAGTGCAGCAGCAGGATGGGAGAACTGCTCAGCTCCGTGCTGTGACCCACAGCACACCTGTGAGATGTGCACCAGCTGAGTCCTGGTCCCCTGAGTACTCCACTTGCATTCCTGCAGGGTGACACTCGCACTCTGCAGTAAAGCATTGGTGTGGCTGTACTTACAATTGGAGAAATTATGAACTGCAAACCCTCAACTGTGGAAGCAGACAGAGTTCACACCCAGGAGGCACCATCCATTACCTGTGCTCATTTTTACATCAAACAGCAGCCCCTTCACCTTTGAGCATTGGTGTCACATCTGTTCCCATGAGGCAGTGACAGACCCAGGACCATCTCCTCTCTGCTCAGAGAGGGCAGAAGGGAGCAGCCACTGAGCCCTGGTTTCTTCCCTCACAGGACACAAGTACGAAGGAGTCCGATTTGAGAAGGGAAACTGCGGGGTCAGCATCATGAGAAGTGGTAGGTGGTGCTGGCTGCTGAAGGACACACATTAAATGCTTTGGAAACCTGGAAGCAACTTCCTTTCAAAGATGTGCAACAACAGGTTTACCCAAATTCTTTCTTAGGTGTCCTTGATAAGAGAATGTCCATGAATATCTCCCATTAACCTTTAAGGAGACAAATGGCTGGCACAGAGGACTGAGTGGCAAAACTGCAAATGGGAGAGAGTTCCTAAAAGCAGGAGTTTGCAGCACTGCCAGTTCATGGCTCACAGAGCAGTGCCAGAGCAACACCAGGAGTGGGAGCTGAATGGAGCTACAGAACTGGCCTGGCTGCAGGTTAGAGGTAAAAGGGGATCTAAATGAGGAACATTTGCTTCTCTGGGAGGAAAGAGGACCTTGTGTGTTGTGTTAGAAATTAGCCATGGCAGAAATCTGTATCAGAAAACTCAGCTGAACTGCAGAGCAGCCTGTACCCACTTTAATTGGGAGCATGGCTGTATGGGGAAGAAAACCCCAAAAAAGCAATTCCCTGAAGTCAGGCAGTTTCCTCAGACATGGTTAGCTAAGGGAGGAACAGGAAGAGGAGACAAGCACAGAGCCTGACTTACTTTTGGAATGCTGCTGATCACAGTTTGACATGGGCTGAAGCACTGTAGTCATTATTGCCTTTCCTGTCTTCCAAGGTGCCAAATCCATCATCCAGGAATTCCCAGACATCACCATTTTAACTACAGAAGTGCATCCTGTTGCACCAACACACTTTGGACAGAAGTATTTTGGGACAGACTGACAGTCTTGGAACAACTGGATATGACTCTATGGCATTACAAGAGGTTTTTTTACATTTTATTACTATTGAGTTGGTCGAGGGCATGTTTAAAAACCTTTTTGGCCAACTAACTTAGGTTAGTGCTGGCCTGAACAGGGATCAGGTACAGTGACAAAGCACTCTGGTTACATGGTCAAGCATCTCCATGTTGGGGCTCTATAACTGCCACACTCTGCTTTTATTCCTATTTATTCTTCTCCAGCCTGTCCGTGGCCGCCTGCAAGAGCAAAATAAACCCAACTAAACCCCAAGGAGTGTCCTTCATTTCTAGGGTCACTTGGCATCACTCCAGCCACAGCCACTCCCACTGCTTCCAAATCTCAGGGTCCTCCTCAGCAGCCACATGCATTTTTGGTCTTTGGCTGGTAATAAAGATACAACTTTGGAATTTTGCTCTGCAAACATTATTCTCAAATAGTGAAACACCCCTGATTGTCTTGCTCTGGTCTCCTCTCTCTCAAGAAGATTCCTGTTGCAGCAGAGGTGCAAACTGGGTGGGAACTGGGGGTGGGAGCAGCACTGCCTGTGGAAATTCTACACATACAGAACTTGGGAGTTGTATGAGACAAAAGGTGTGGCTGGATCAGTCTCACCAACCCTTTAAAAGACAGGAAAACTGCAGCAAAAAGCTGGAACTCGATTTCTAGTCCTGTTCACAGAGCTCCAGAGCCAGGAGACAAGCGTGGCCCTCAAGGCTCAGCAGCCTTTCCAAAGCCTCAGGGCACTCCTTGTTTGGGTCACATTAAACATCAGTCTGCAGCCAAATCCCTTCTTTCTTTGAATCCCTGGGCAATAAGCACACCACACCCAGCTGGCCAGTACCTCCCCTCACTGTAACTTTGGGGAAATCCAGGAACACAATATAAGCCATTATTATTTTAAAATATATCCGTATTCTGCAATTGCAGGATTAGGGAATGTTGTCTCAAGTAGTGTCCTTACCTCTCATCAGGTGAGTGGAGTGCTGAGGTCTGGGCTGCCCACAGCAATGAATGTTTTTGTCACAGATAAAGAACATTCCCTATTCCAAGCAGTAATTCCAATTAATTAAAGTTGTGTAACACTTCCAGAGAGGGAATTTTAGCTCAAGCATAGGAAATAACCATTCACAAGTCTAATTAATTAGCCAAAAATGGTTTTAATGCAGTCCTTGCCTGCAGTGCAGTATAAACCATAATAAAAAACAACAAAGCAGAACATACAGGATATCCAGCTGTAGAAACTGTACAAACACTTGGAAAATACAGTGAAACTCCACAGAGCATCAGCATAGTCAGAGCATTGGTCTCACAGTTAAAATGAGTATCCAAGGCTTTTGTAAAAACCCATTTTATATCAAAAGTCTCAATGCCAGCAGCAGCATTAAATTCCTGAACACAACACCCCAAAGGTGGGCAGCAATCCTGGTGTGACATTCCTTGGAAAATAATTACTTCCCATCGAATTAGGGGGGAGGGATGTGTAGGCAGCCACCCTGGAACAGCTGCCAGCCCCAGGCCACGCTGGGTTCCTAAGAAGCAGCTGGATGCAGTTCCCACTCCAGGGATTGCTGCTGTGTCCCAGTTCTGTCAGCTCCATGGGGAACGGCTGCTCCTGCCCCAGGGAGCTCCCAAAGGGCTCCCCTGACCCCCAGCAGCCCCTGCAGTGGGGTTTCCAGTGTGTGAAACCCCCTGGCTTTTCTGGGCTGACATTAAACCCTGCTGCTGCATTGACAACAGCACGCCCTGCTGTTCTCTGATCCTGAGATTTAGCTCACTTCTATCTTTTGTACCACAAACAGCATTTTCAGATGAGGAGCAGCCATCTGAGCAGGCAGATTATAAATTTATAAAATAACAAGACCTTTCCTACTTTCCTGTGTTCCTAACCCAAAGTTCCCTTGTCCAGCAATGGATTTGGAATCACTCTGGAGTAGCTCCATGAGTACAGCAGGAAGCCATTCCATAGTGTAGTTAACTCCAAAGAAGGAAGGAGTTAAATCAGAACAGAGGAACCACAGTTCCACCTCCTCACTCCAGCTCTCAGGCACAGCCTTGTCCCTCCCAGGGAAGGTCACCTGCACCAGCCCAGCAGTTCATGACATCAGCAGCGTTCCAGGTGCTGAGGGAGTTCTGGGACACATCCTGGAGGCTCCCACATCCTCCAGAAGGTGTGGGGGGAATAATACACCAACACTTTCACTCTGGCCTTCTGTTTCTTTTACAGAGGGAAGTGCTGAGAAGGGGCTGCACACACCTTCCCCAGGTTGGAAAGGAGAGGGGGAGGCTGATTTTGTTGGGTTTCAGGCATCCCGTGGGATTTAGTCCAAGGTTAACTCAAGGAAGTGCTTCAGGAAGTACTGAAACAGCAGGGAAGTGTCAGGTGAGGTACCTGCGTGTCCCAGGGCTGTCTGACACCAGCACTGCATTCTTTTCAAGCACAGCTGGAATAAGAAGCAGAGATGATCCCTTTGTCCTTTTTGTTGGATTTTTTTGTGGTTGTGGCTTCCCCCCCTCCTTAGCATATTTTTTTTAACAATGGCTGTTACCCACTAAAGTTTTACAAATGCTGCTGTAAATCTTAAAACCTCATACAGAAAAAAAATAGTATTTTAAGGAGCATGCAGGCATGAGCAACTTACAGGCTTGTATTTGAAATGTAAACTTACATTTTATTTCACAAGGTTTACGTCCCAAAAGGAAGCTGGAAAATGAAGAAATGAGGCTTTTAGGAAAGAGAAAATGCAGGAAATGGGATCCTGCTCTAAGCAAAGCCAGCTGGGGCTGATGATGGGAACCACAAACCAATACCTGACAAACAGAGATTAATTACAAATAAAATACATGGCTCAACTGCATAAAATGACACCTACTCACCTTCACAGTATCCAAAAAACCAGCACAAGCAGCTCTCAGCTGAAAATATTTAACTGTATGTTCAGGAGGAAGAGGAAAGACTCAAAGTGGGATGGGAAAAGGACAAGAGACTAAAACCCTGCAGCAGTGGGTGTGAGCTCAGCGTTTGTGACCAGGGCAGGGAATGCAGCACTGGGCAGGAAGAGCCATGGCAGAGCCAGTGCAGGGTCTGCCAGACCAGAGCCCCTCTGCCGTGCAAACACCTTCAGTCATCTGGATGATCTGATCACTTCACAATGAGTTTAGGTTTGCAAGTGTTCTGCAATAAAGCAGAAGCTGATAGAATTGGAAAAATATCAATAAAATTGAGGTATTTTCAAGTACTGTGGATCCATTTCAGAAATCTGTACCACAGGAGTCACTGAAATGAAAACGTGACCCTTTTGAGTTAATTAATTCTGGCTTAATAAACAAGGTCAGCAGTGGCTCCTTCCCCTGCTAATTAAACCCTTCCATGAGTGCCTCAGCTCTGCACAGAGTAACTGCTCAGCAGAGTAACCCTGCACAGAGTAACTGCTCAGTACATCATTCTTCATAGGTAAATTCAGGGAAAAAATAGTAATTTCTTTTTCCCCTTTACATTTGACATTCATATCACATGACAGACTTTATGCATCAAGTTGTGCTTTCAGTCCAGACCAGCATCCAGAACTACAGAGCTGCAGCTGGTGTGGATTTTGCTGAATCCATTCCTGTTTGTCCCAGGAAGCAAACATTCATTGCATAGTGTGATTTGGAAGCTTCCTGATTCTCACCAGTGACTGCACCCCACACACACTGGGTACAGCCCCCTCAAACATACAGAATGCTCCCTGCTTGAAGGAAAACAAGATAATCCTACTCCAAAAACTTCCAACTCAGCAAGAGAAACCTGGCAGTGCAGTGGGGGTTGCACAAGTCCTGGTTCCTTGGGCAGGACTTGCTGGCCCAGGGCTGGACTTAGGACAATTGCACACAGAGAAACATCAATATGATGCTCTGTCTGGGTTTTTGTACCTGAATGTAAACGGGAGAGAAGGGGGGGAGGTGAGCAGGTGGCTGTTAGTGGTCAGTTATTTCAGAGGATGAATCCAGGAGCAGAGGGATAACAATGGAGGCAGCACAGTAAAGTCCAATAAAAGAGTTCCCTCCTTTCCATGGTGGCATCACTTGGAGAAGTTGCTCCAAGCTGAGAAAGCTGTAGTGTAGATCCAGTGCTAAGCAGGGAAAGCAGCCCCTGGAGGGGGTTGAGACAGTTCCCTTGCTGCCTCCACACTGCTCCAGGCTGGAGTGGAACACCTTCAGCAGCCCCTGCAGCCACACAACTGACAGCAGCACCAGAACCGGGACTCGGACCTTAACAGTTCTCCAGATTCCCTGAATGGAACTGCACCTACAGCACACACCCAGAGTGACACTGAACACTGCTGGCAATCCCACTGGGGACACTTTGGCTGCTCCTGGCACACAGAGGGCCCAGGGTGCACCTGGAATGCTGGGCCACCAGCACAGGCAGTGTGAGGTACACACAGGATGAGCTGGAATCACTGGCCAGCTCCCAGAGCTGCAGTATCCTTGGTGTTGATGGGACTTGGGGGATGAATCCCACTCCTGGAATGCTGGGATGGAGAGTGCAGGGAGAGGTTTGATGATACAGCCCTTACAGTCAGTGATGATGGTGGAGAGCCTCTGGATGAGGATCAGGGCATGGAAAACAAAGGAGGAGCTGCAGTGGGTTACCTCTGAAGAGCCATTTGCAGGTTAAAAAAACCTATCACACACTGGGCTGAATATTCTCTCTCTTGTCACCTGCAGCATTGACCACAGCAGCCTGAGGAACTGTTTGCCAGTGCATTTACTCAGCATAAAAAGGACAAAGGCCAGAGGTAAAATAAGGATATCACCTTCAGTGAGCAGAAGGGAACAAAATGGAGCTGCTCACTCAGACATGTGGGTTTTTCCCATTTTGTTCTGCCTCATTTTACACAGCTTTTGGTTTGTTTCACATTTCATTGAGCTTTCCAGCATCTGATGTGTGGATATTGAGAAGTGGCTCTGAAGTGATAAACTTTGTGTTGTTTTTACCTGGACAAGAGTTTGTTACAACCACGGGAGGCTGAGCTGCTTTGAAGGAAAGGGAAGAGATAACCATAATTAATTACAAGAAAGGTGACTGAATAAAAGTTACTTGGAAATGTTTAAAACCCTTTCTCAATCCGAGCTTGGTACCTGTGCCATCATAAAGATATCTGCCTTAGTATTAGATGACAAAATCTGATTTTCTGTACTCCCTAATGAGCAGTGCAGGGGAGCTCCTGCACAGCTCTGCTGCTGCTGCCTGGCACAGAAGCAACTCAAATAATGGCAGGGCTGTAACCAGAGCCAAACCCAGGAGGGGAACAAGGACCTGCTCAGAAAACTCCTGTAAATCCACACAAGCTCTGTAAATTCACACAAAAAACCCTCCTGCAAATCCACACAAGCTCTGTAAATTCACACAAAAAACCCCTCCTGCAACTCCACACAAACACTTCAGCTGGCAGGATGAAACAGAAAGTCACCAAATCACCTTCCTGGTTTTAGATACACGGAATTTAAAGTTTTTAAAGGCACAAATAGCACCTCTGTAGGTGCTAAATTCTGGCTGTGTTTAGCTGCCATCATCCTCTCAAGCTCCCCCTCCAGAGCACATTTTGGCAGGAACGAGGGGATTAATTCAGCTGCCACCTTGCATCACACACAGCACAAGGTCCAACACCAGATTTACATTAGAAATGCAGCTTTAGATTGACAGGAAAAACCCTTCCAGCACTCAGCAGCCATTTGGTGACAGAGCCACTCAACAGATGGGGCTCAGGTGGCTGAAGCAGGAACATTTTCAGTGTTCAGGGCCACCCTGAGGAGAGACACAAACCCACAGGAGCCTGGGCCAGCCCAGCATGGCCCCTCACAGCCAAATTCAGCAGTGAGACATCAGCACTGCCTGCTCCACACAAACTGCAGAGGCTGAGGGACAAAATTCCTGCCCACAGGGCACGGATCAGCCAGGAGTGAAACACTTTCTCTTAGGGAAGGAACCTTTGCAAGGCTCTCCTGGCTCACAAACACATTCCCTGTGGCAGCAGCAGCAGAGGAACAGAGGAAAAAGGGGTTTAGTCTGTAGGCAAAACCTCCATCTCCATATTCACTCATCAGCTCCTTTCTGCTGGCATTCACAGCTGCTCCTGTAGTCACTGCCAACAACAGTGGGCTGATAAACACAAAAATGGGATAGAAAATGGTACTAAATGATCTTAGAGGCAGTACACCAATACTTTTAGCATGCACCTAATTCAAATAAGAATGATGGACTGGGCTGAATCATGCAGATTTAAAAAAAAAGGACTCAGGTCTAGAAAAATATCCATAATCCAGCCAGCCAAGTCTCAGTTCTATTCCCCAAAACAAAAACAGGGATACACCTCTTTGACTGTAAATGCAGCAAAATGCATAAACAAATCTGATCACCTCTTAGTGCAGAAACCCCTGAAGCCAGTCAGTGCACTGAGCTGGGAAGAAGTCTGAAAAAATTCAATACACCAATTGTGTCTTCAGCAATTTGGGGTTCAGGCCACCCCTGTGGAGTGCAAACTCCAAACATGACTCTTGGAGCCAAACTTTCAGTGCATGTTTTGAATTCACATCTTCCTTTCTGACTCCATGAACACACAAATCTCCATCAAACACTGATCCAGGAATGAGATGGTATTTTAACCCTAGGAATTAATGCAAAGTGGACTGTCTGAAGTTCCCTTTTGCATTTTAGGAGCCTGCAAGTGGGATGCAAGAGCACTATAACCCAAACTCAAGGAAAATAACACCCCCTAAAAAGGCTATAAAAAACCTATGGCCACAATATTCTTGAATCTTGGTACTGGCAATGTGAATATTTTATTTTCACTCACAGCTGCACATGTACATGTGCATGTTCAGCACTTTTGCTTTCAACACTCTTACATTCAGCTACCAATTTAGTGCCAGCTTTAACTGGGTCTGTCTTGCATTGAGCTGAACTCACTCAGAATTTAAATACATTAGAAAATGCCACTTGTCAGAGAAGGTTGGAGAATCAGCCTCAAAATAAATAACCATCCCCAAGAATATTATGGCTTGGAAAAATTTCAAGAGCTTGAGTCCCTGATGTTTGCAAAATGAAAAGGCCTTCGGAAACGCACTCACATCAACATTTTTACCCATTTTGAATAAAAAATATAGAGTATTTATAAAATAAAGAGAGCAGGCCAAAGAAGATTGGCCACAATCACTCTGTAAAATTGTTCTGTTAACTCTGTAACTTAAATTTATAAAGCCTTGGGACATCTGGACAGCAGGATTCCTGGAGAAGCACTCTGGAATGCAGATTCCCATCAGACAATACTTCAGGATGTTTTCTCATCTTGAAGATCCGCCTGTTTTCTGCCCCTCAAAACTGAAGTCCTTGCCAAGAGAAGGGATGTTGGCTCCTGAGAGGAAAGCTGAAAATTAAAAAATACAATTGTGCAACCATAGCAATGCTGTTATGAGGGACTGAGGGCTGATCTGGGCTTTGGGAGTCATTTTAAAGCCATGAAGAACAACAGGAAAAAGCTGATTTTGCCTGCTCTGCTGGGATGGCAGGATGCAGCCCTCAGTGCTGACAGAAAAACACTCTGGGGTTTTTCTCAGTGGAACAAGGGAGACTCCTTGTTCCCACTGACAGCAGCGTGGAGGGGCCCTGTCTGCCAGGGGAGCCAGGCAGGGATTGCAGTGCTCTGCCCCTCCACAGTTACTGACTGCCTTGGAACTGAGAGGGGCAAACTCCACCTGCACTGGGACAGCAGGGATGCTGCTGGGATCTGGGTCAGCTCCATTCCCCTGGGACAACAGGACACTGTGCCCTCCTCACTGCCTGCAGCTCCTGGGGCAGGATGTGTGTGGAGCATCTCCCCTGTTCTCGGAGCAGGAGGCAGAGCAGGGAATGTTCTGGAAGCAGCACCTGCCCCAGCTGGTGTCAGCTCTTGTGGGACCCATCTTTCCCAGGGGGAGAGAAAGCCTGGAGAAGAGTGACAGCTGATGTGACATTACAAGGCACTTCCTTGTACCCCCAGCTGCAACTTGGCTGTGCTCAGCTTCAGTTCAACACCTCACCTGCACCTTCCCATACCTCCCATGATCCCAGAATTTCCATCTTGCCACTGTCCAAGTCATGTTTTCCAGAGGAGCTGCAGGGTCGGTGTCCTCCCCTTCACAGAGTGCTGGTGGCTCTGGTGTCACCTGTGCCACACCCAGCCCAGGGCCACTGAGAGCCTCTGCCTCCCTTCAGGGCCCCTTGAACAAGGGATTTCTGGGCAAGCTGGAGAAATATTTTTCTGCTAAAGCCCAAACCTTTTCAACATTACCTTCCCACTCCCTGCAGAGCACTGGTTTTGAGGGAAATAAAGAAAGAAATACCTTTCTGATGCAGCTTTACACCACTGTTTTCACACTGCTATGTCTCCCTTTCTATGGCAAGGGATGAAGCTTCACCAGAACCTGTGAAAAGCAAAGCAGTTAGAGGCAAATAAATCTGGTTTTCTCACTGAGAATACATATTTCACTAAGCATGGGGTTGTGTTTTTAAGGATAATTACAAACAAAAATAGACAAGCACTTGTCTCAGAGAACTGAACAGCTGTTTTAAACTGAGATTACTCTATTATTGGCTTTATTTCATAACCAAGTCACAAGCTTTAAAGTCACAAAGACAAATAAAGGTCTTGCAGTTTTAATGGAACACTGCAGGTCTTTCTGCTTAGACATTTTTACTGGTTTACCTCTGTTGTGTAAGAGAGAATCTGAATATTTCAGTTGAAAGGACCCAGAGTGATTATCCAGTTCAACTGCCTGGAAATGTCAGATATTTTATAAGCTCTATAAATTAGAAGACTTCATATAAGCTCCAGACCATAGTCTGGGGTCTGATCTAGCCAAAAATCACCTCACTGCCACTATTTTCATATGGAAGTATTAATTATTGATTCAGAGAATTTAAAGTTTGTAAAAACTGGAAGAAGCTCTGACTCATTCCTACAGGAGTTATTTTAAACATCATTAAAAATTCACAGAAATACAATAGTTTACTATTTTTAAAGCACATTTTGTTGGTTTTAAAACTCACTTGTGTTACCTTGTGTAAGTACCAAAATGTATAGAATCAACCAGGGAGAGAGGTAAATTTACTCTGGAAATAAAGCTGGACAAAGTACAAAGCAGCTTCCTAAATGTATCCCTGAACTCAGATGTTTGCATGCCTGATTTCACACACTGTCATAGGATAAATACACTTTAAAAAAATCTAAACATTCTCCTTCTTGCAGGCACACTTTACATCCCAAATAACTGGGCTGCATGCAGCAACATTTACATGTAAACACTCTCAGTTTGTGGCAACTTCAGTTTCTCTAACCCTTGAAACACCTTTTAAGTTCATTCACCTGCAAGTAGAAAGTCATTAAAAAAAAAGAAAGAATTGTTTCCAAAGCAGAGCTTATTTTCAGTCTGTGCTCATTAATCAAGTCTCAGCTGCCCAGAGACTTAACCAACACAGTTTTTTATTTGATTAGCTCTTATAGTTCATTTATTGGCCACTGTAGGTCAGGACAACTAATTTCAGAAATTCCTTACCCTGAGGCTCTTCATCTATTCCATCCTCTTCCCACTGCTCCTCATTTGTCAGGAGAGGGTTCCGAGCTTCACTCAAGGCTCTCATTGGGAAAAAATGTCCATCCCCCTGGCTGCATGGGAAAAGGCAGAGAGGGACACTGCAAAAGCAGCAAGTGACTCTAAAAGATGACAATTTCTCTACATTTTTTCTGCAAAGATTTCTGTTGCCAGTATTTTCCACGTTTATTTAAGATCATCTTTAAGCTTGAAAAGCACCACGTTTATCTTTCATTTTGGTTCTCCATTTTTTCAAGGTCTCTGGAGTACCAAAGTTGAAACTTGTGGCCTGGAATCCAGTAATTTTTAGCAGAAGGTAAATGTGCTAATTTGATCAAGTAATTTGAATACAGAAAAAAAGCCCTGGAAAAATTAACTTGTGGGCAGTTAGAAGTGACAAGGGAACTAAGGAAAACATTTATGAAAACTAAGCAAATAGGTATAAATTTTATCAATTTATCCCACAGATTCTTCAGGGCAGAAATCTCACTTGTGTTTGAGTGACACCCAACAGAAAATGGCCCCACTCTTATTGGAAAACACATAAAACCCTCACTTTCCTGTGACCTAAGCCTGTACACAAAATGTGAAAAACTGTAATTATATCAGCTTTTAGCAGGGTCACTTACCTAGAGGCAATAGGCAGCAACCAGAGCTTTTTTTCTTCCCCAAACACTTGCTGGAGATTCTTCACAAAGCCAAGATTGAATCCATTTTTATCTGGGCCATTTTGAAACACTGGAGCTGAGAAAGCCTCTGCAAACAGAGGTGGTTTCAGTGGAAAAAAAATGAAAATCAATGGCAAACACTCTGAAACAGGGTTGTGCATCTTGTAACCATCTAAAGCCAATGTGATTTAACAGATTACAGAGATACAGCACTACAGTTTCAAAATAATGGTTTTCCCATTTTGCAAAGACCTTCCAGCTGAAGGCAGGAATTTGGTTGTGCAACTGAACCTAGAGAACAGTCAAACCAACCCACAAGGGGTTGTTTCATCCAGAGAATGGAGTTAAAAGATCTTCCTGTGGGACTTGATGAAATTCAGAGGGTAAAAGATTCTAGGTAAAAAACTCTGCAGGATGAAGTAGGTTGGTGTTCAGTGCATATTCCAGAAGTGGCACTGCAGATTTAAATCACCTCATTCGTTAATGTTAGAATGAACAAGCACTAGGGACAAACAAATGCAAATATACTCCGGGTTCTGGTGGGGCATAAAATTAAGAGAAGAAAGGAGAGAAGAACCTGGAGTGCCTTAGGAACAGTTTGATCTCCCCTCTCAGCTGCTGCACAGGACTGATGTTTTGGGATAGATGAGCTTCAGTGCCCCATGAAATGACTTTTGAAGTAATAACTTGATAAAATCAGAATATTTGCTCTCTCTTGAGAGTGTCTGTTTTGTTACAAAACTTTATCCCAAAAGCTTTGTAAGTTGAACACTTTTCTAAGGAAAAGCAAAGAAACTTTGGCAAAATGATACAATTTTAGACTATAATTTCTTTAATTTTACAGTCACAACTTCTTTGCTTTTATCAGTAAAGATTGCCTTTATCACTGTGTTTCCCAAGCTCATCAAGCTGATTGGGGAGCACCTCAGTACAGGAATAATCCATTATTCCTCAAAAGCTGCATTCATGTCACAGCAAATGCAGTTTTACATATGCTTAACACTTTTATAATTGGACTTCTACACTTTAAGGCTCTGGTTTCCCTAAAAAAGCTTTTGTCACACCAGCTAATAAATGCAGCTCATTTGCAGAGACAAATTTGTGTAGCTTGTACCAAGACCTTAAATCTTCCTCCCCTCAAACACCAGCAGGAATGTACAGAAATAGAACAAATGCCTTTTTTCTTCTCTTTTTTTCTTCTTACAGCACCTTTGGTGTGTCTTACTAGAAGGAAGGGACAGAAGAGCCTTACCTAGAGTAGATCTGTTCCTGCTGACGAGCCAGCAGTGGTAGCCAAAGAGAAACATGAGGCTCACAAAGAACATGATTGCCACAAAGAGAAGGAAAAGGATGTGAAATTTGGAACGTCCATTGGTCAGCTCACCCTGGAAAGGAAAGCAACACAGAACAAGTGATGGGAAAAAATTAAAGATGGAAATTATTTGTACTTAGAAATATAACTCTAAAATTCCTATTGGGAGTTCTTAAACTTTTACAGACAAAAGTGAACATAACTATATAAAGCAAAAAGAGACAAAGAAATGAATGTGGTTCATTTCCCCTCCTGTACCACAGCACAAAGTGTAGGGGGTGTTATTAACCCTTGGTATGGCTCTGAGCCAGCCCACCACAGCTGCCCAGGTGGGCATGAGGAACACCCTGTGTGTGTGGGAAATGAGCAGGCAGAAGCTCTTGAAGCCCTGTTTAAGTTCTGCTGAGTTTCCTGTGCATACATTAAAATTCTGCACCTTACTCAAAGTAAGCCTGGAGAAACCTGCCCTCCACATCTGCAGCTACTGGGGAGTGTTAGAACTCAGCATAAATGGATGGGGAAAGTCTAAAAGCCAAGTGGGACATTCCAAGGAGAAGAAAGGCTCCTTTCCCTCTACAGCAGAAGAGCCAGGTGCCAGAGGTGCCCAGCAGGGACACAGGCAGGCTCTGGGGACCTCCTGGGCTCAGGGCTGTGCCTTGCTGAGTGTGGGGAACAATTAGTGCACAGCAAAGGTACTTAAACACAAACATACACAGTTACTGAGCAGAGGGGACAGAAACAGAGACCAAGGGCCAGTGTCTTACAGGAGCTGTCAGCTGGCCTCGCTTGCACAGAAGCAATCAGCAGTAACTGCATAAAAGCCTCCTTTGCATCGCTGTTTTTAAATTGAGAAAGGAGGCCTATGGGAGTTAGAAAATGAACACCAGTTTTTGACCCATTTTTTTTTTTTTTCATAGTAAAATATGTACAAATCACTGCCAGGATCTTACACATCAATGCCAAACTTTCCAAGGGACACCCATGCAAACACAAGGACAGGGAAGGGATAGAGCCCCTCTGCCAGAAAAAAATCTACAGTCTGAAATTCTGAAGGCTGCTTGCTTCTTGCTTTGTGCATTTGGGACATCTAGCAGGAGGTGGACTCCCAAAGGGCCCAGGAAACACCTCCCAGGAAAATGCAGCCCCTCCACTGCCTGACAGCACAAAGCACCAAGAGTCTCTAAAGCCCACGAGACTGACAGGAGATGAAAAAGGAACCGGATTTCATGACTTACTGTCCAATACTTAATGAAATACTTGAAGACTGTTGCAGCAATATACAAGCAATACAACAAAGAATAGGCTAAGAACAGTAGAAAGAATTTGTAGTTAGAAAATCCAATGCAGTTATTCACCCTGGAGGACAAAAGCAAAGTTGAAATCAGGATTGGTGCAGCACACAGTGGTTGTAACACAAAGAGCACGATCGGTTTCCAGGGGTTTGAAACCCCCGATCACACAGCCCAATTTGCCAATGCGCAGCTCCCCTTAGTGGCCGAAAGGGAACAGAGCTGATGGCTCTGCTTTCCCCTCCAACCCCTCCTGTGGGCCGAGCAGAAGAGCAGTTCAGGTTTTTGGAATTGTTCAAGGCTGGTACCACAGGTAAATGGGTCACAGAGGCAGCAGCTCGTTCCTCCTGTCTGGCTCTTGTCTGCCAAGGAAATCAGAGCCGGGAGTTCTGCGCTGCTTTATTCCTTTGCAAACCTCAGGAGCCAGCTCACCCCTGCCTGTTTGCTTACATACAGCCCAGTTAACCCCACACTTGGTTAGAATTCTCCATGCACAGGACAACTCTAGAAAGGAACATGGGGGTGTACAAAAAACCAAAAAAGTGTGTGGGTGTTTGTGTCAGAATTCAGGTTTGGAAAACCCTCTCCAATTTTGATCACCAGGAAGGTTCAGGTAGGGAAATGTTTGTGTTGCTTCTGAATTCTTAAATCTTCCTTTTTTTTTTTTTTTTTTTTTTTTTCCAAAAAAAAGGAGGAATTTAAGAAATTTAGTGGCAGCAATTCTGAAAGGTGTAAAGCTCAATTATTCCATGCAGCTTTCTGCTGACTGTCTCTGACCAGCATCAGTTCAGAAACAATCCATATGCAAATGTTGTTATTGGAAGCACCCCAAGTGCAGCTGAAACACTAAGAGAGCCCAAAGGAAAGGCTAAGCTGGAGTTTCTTTCAAATTTGAATAATAGTTAATGAGTGAATTAGCAGTTGGGGTTTAAATTTTATCAATATAATAGCATTCTTACACATGGGTTATGGAGTGAACATGAATGATTTGCTAAGATTTAATTTCAGGCAATTTCAAAGTGCACTTATTTTATAAGTTTCCCAAACTAAAGAGATGGATGGCCTAAAATGTGAGAGGAATACAGACATGAGGGGTTTACAGAAATATATCTAAGTAGTCTTTCCTTTCAGAAAACCACAAACCAGTATCTAGGACATACCATGGACAGTGATGATCCATTTTTAGCACACACCTGCAAAAGGACAAAAAAGAAAAATGGAAGATTTTTAATTGGTACTTCATTACCAACTGCAGATCAATAGCAAAACTTTGATTTTTGTGAGGTTTCTACACAATAGATACTAAAAATGATGCTGTCTCTAAGTTTTTTAAGGTAGATATAATTTTAGGATGGTATATTTCTTGGTGTTTGAAGACCAACCAATGTACTTGGTCCTTGTGTAGAGACATGAGAATGATTTCTGCCCAAGAGCAGAAGAGCTGCAGCTGGGACAGAGACCCTGGGGAACATTTTGGTGTAAAAAGACACATGAAGGAGCAGCCCACTCCCAAAGCCTTGTGGTGACTGCACTTGGGTGAAGGGCAGCCCATGACTTACATGGCACAAACAGAGCAATGGTGACAACGGTCAGGTTTGATCAGCTGGCATCTGTCACAGAACCGAATCCCTGGAATCAGAGACAAATTAACACAAAACAATGGGGAAGTGCTCTTTTTTTCATGTGCTAGTTGATACTGTGCTCATTTCCTAACTATTCTTTTCTCTATCACTTCAGCAGGTGACCTGGTGTTTGCTGCAGGTCACAATCAGGTAAGCAACACTCATAATTCTGATGAAGACTTGCAACAATCAGTGAAAGCATAAAATCCTAGAACCATGGAATGCTTTGGGTTGGCAGGGACTCTAAAGTTCATCTCATTCCACCCCCTGCCATGGACAGGGACACCTCCCACAGTCCCAGGGTGCTCCAAGCCTGTCCAGCCTGGCCTTGGACACTTGCAGGGATCCAGGGGCAGCCACAGCTCCTCTTCGAACCTGAGCCAGGGCGTCGCCACCCTCACAGGAAGGAATTCCTTCCTAACATCTATCCCAAACCTACTCTAACCCATACAGCCAGCTCAAAAGTGACAAACCAAAGTTGCACACTTGCCTCCACATTTACTCAGACTACCTAAACTTCATTTTGATAATTCCCTATTTATTCCAGTTCTCTGCTTCAAAATTCTTTGGCTTGCCTGACAGAAACGAGCAGGTCAGAGCCTCCAATATGTACACAGATTTCTTTAAGCTGTGAAGGGAGTGCAGCAGGCATTTAATCACTGAACATAATCCAGAACACTGGTCACAGAAATATGTCCTGCATCCCTAAGCCAGACTCCATTTTAAGTAAAAATTACAACAGTTTTGATTATTCTATTGCTATTTCTAAATACAGACAGCACATGTGGGCTTTTGGACTGTAATCCAAAGGGATTTTGCTCCTCAAAGGTAGCACCTGGAACTGCACTAAATGAGAGGGTTCAAGGCTGTTTTCCCTGCGAGCAAAGGAGAGCAGGAGTCAGCGGGTGCCTGGGAATGCTGCTGGTCAGCAGGATCCTCTGGGTGCCAGCCCGTGCTGCCGGGGCGTGTGGGCGGATCTGGGCTCGGTCTGGGCTGACCTCCGTTCCCTGTCCTCGTGTACACCGGCAGCTTCCTGGCGATCTCGGCGAGGATCTGCCGCTGCACCTCGGGCCTCTCCTCGTTCTCGTAGCGCTCCTGGTCAGCGTAGGACATGTGGAACTGCAAGCAGAAGGCACCGAGGAGCGCTCAGCCACGGGCAGCGCAGAGCGTGCCAAACACAGGTGAGCTTGGAAACGTTTGTGCGCCCCGCTCCTGAGGTGAATGCAGTGGGAAAATGTGGTTGTTAGGAAGGCAAAGGGAGGCAGTGAGTGCTGGGAGCCAGAACACTGAGAGACACAGCAATAAGAAATGAAACTGTGAAATTAAGGCTCATAAAACAACTTATTAGAATTGCTCCTATTGCTGCCCTAGATGAATACCATTACTCACCTTTGTAACATATTCAGCACCTCTCTAGTGAGCAAGAACCTTTATATTTTTAGATTTTTAAAACTGGGATTAGTTGTTATTTATAAATTTACATTCTTGTAATCAGGATCAGAGCAAGGCTGAGTATATTTGGAGTGCCGCACAAGTATTGACCTCATTTTGTTGCCTCAATCTGAGTGTTTTATTAGTATTTCATAGAGAGGTAAAACAAAATGTGAAAAAAAAATTTAATCTACTTATCCAAGCAACATGACAAGGTAAATATTTGGTTGTAAATAATTAAAACACATTTGCCTCTGACTGTCCTCTTCAGATCAACTAGACTGAAGGATGTTTGATTTCTCTTTAACATCTGTGCTTTTGTTCTGCAAGGAATGAAAGGTGTTGTCTCTCTTACCTTTTTGCCTGGTTGTATTGGGAGAGTGAAAACAGACTTCCAATATGTCCACACAAAGAGCACAAAGAGAATATGGAATACTACAAGATAGGCCACTAAAAACAAAACAAGAAAAGAAAAAAACAGAAAAGAGTAATGACTTCTTAAGCAAAGGTTTCATCAACAATGGGCATAATTCAAATTTTTCACAACAATGTCAAAAAAAAAAAAAAAAAGAAGAAGGGAAAAGACAGATGTCCATCCAGTGCCACACATTATTGCAGTCCAGCTAAAATTCATGGCTGAGGGTCAGCAGCTCCAGAGCTCAGGAGTGACCAGCCTCAGATCCTCCCTGCTCCCATTCTGTGGGAGAGGAAGATGCAGCTGTCAGAAAATTGTCCCACAGGGCAGGTGACAACCTTTATCCCTGGGAATGACAGGACTCCTGTCTCTTCCCCACATCCCAGGCACAAGCCCAGCAGATCTGGCAGGTGCTGAGCACTGTAAAGGTGAATTTTGCACCTCCCAGTATTGGGGTTTAGTTGTTACTAAAAGCAGTGTGAAGCAGAGTGGGCACTGTCCAACCCTGCACCATGTTCTTCTTGTGAGAGCAGAGAGGAAATAATATGAGCTTTACATCACCAGAAAAAGCCAAATTTCTTATTAAACATCTTTTACATTTGCCACAATTGATACAATAAATCAGGAAAACTTCCCTGAATTTGAGCAAAATAGGAAGAATTGCAAACCAGGCCATGTCAGAACAGTCAGTTCAATGTGCAAACCTGATTCCAGAGCCTTGGGCATTAGCAGGCATTCCATGGACAGGCAGCCAAAGGAGCTGTCCTTCAGCTGCACAGATTATTTGCCATTTCTTTAACACTCAACTCACTCAGACATTATCAAAGTTACAAGATGGTTTTATTTAAACACATCATTTCATTGCAGTAACAATCTTGTTTCCCCATTTCATTTAAGCTTCAAATTCTAGAAAATAAGATTAAAATAACTAGCTGGAAAGAGAAATCTAAAATTCAAACACTTCTTAACTATATCAAAACACTTCTTTTCCTGTGTGAAAATCGGTAAAAAAGGCCAAATGCATCAGTGAGACTTTCTAATGAGACGACAAATGATGGGACACATCTCACAAGGATGTGATGGACTGTGGGAAGGAGCTGTGAATCACAGCTAAGTCACTCTCATGCTCCAGGCTGGTTTGAGATGTTACCCTCACACTGCAGGTGGAGCTGAGCCATTTTTAATTAATGTGAAGGGAGATAAATCTTGCAACAGGTTTAATTTTGTTGATCAGCCTAGCAGCACATTAGAGGAAGCTGACCTGGAGATGCACTAACAGATTAGGCAACAATTAACTTTCTTCTGCAGAGTAGTCATTAACATCCTGCTTTCTGCAGTTTCTCTGTAGCAATTTCAAACGTTAGAACTGTTCTATAGGGGAAAGAGAATTTACTGGATGCAGCAATCTGGAGAATCTTTAAATGTCAGCTGGCACTGCTCTTCATGGAACAGCTTACACTACACCTACTTCTGTCCTTCATAACCCCCGAAGAAGAAAGTCACCAGGAGAACACCTGGACTAGCCAAAAGCATCCAAAACACCTCCAGGAAAGAAGGAGAAAAATATTAAAATATCCACTGACTCCTTATTCTTAGAACATGGCTATTACCTCCACCAACACACTGGTCTGAAGAGTGTCATTGAGCAATCCTACTGTGCTGTGACTCAGGATCTGTTAGTGGGCACCAGAACCGAGAGAGAAAACTTAGCAAAAATAGCTTTCACTGAAAGATCAAACGGAACAGTGAAAAAAGCCAGGTGGGCTGCAGATGGGAACCAGTATTTTCTGTTTGGCTTGTAAAATCAGCTCTGGAAATGTGAAAGGGAAAGGGAGAAGAGGGGTGTGGGTGTGCACAGATACACACAGCTCTTCCTGAAAGAGTCAGAGGGATCAGAGCCTTTCCATGTCCTGCCCAGACTGTGACTAGACAGAGCATTTATTTCCCAGTGCACCCAGGAGGTGCAGCATGCTGAGTACCTCAGGAGGGTGCAATTACAGGGAGGAGACACTGAAAGAGGATGTACCTTTAAAAAATGACAGCAAATATTTCTGATATCTCAGCCAGAACATTTGTGAGTCCTTTTACACGAGGGTTGCACGGCAAATAATAAATTATCACATACCTTTCTCCACAGGGTTGCTCACAGTCACTGGAAAAGAAAAAAAAACCATGTGTCCACAGAGGAAATATGAATCCCAGAGAAGTTTGTGACAATTAACATTTCTATGTGAAATACAGCCATTTTAGGAAAAATGTTCAAATTCAAGAGGCAAAGAGAGAGCCCACAGCTCAGCACCAAACCAAAAGCATCCGTAACAACTCTTCTTCACTCACGCACACACCCACAGCAAGATGTTCACTCACTCTTACTTGTGCTGTTTTCCCTGCTTATAAAATTATTAAAATGTATATTTTGCACTAGAAATATGATAAAAGCAATCCTCCTGTGACAGTGAGATCACCAGGGCTCCTCTAGCACCTGTATCTCTGCATTTGCCACATACTGGTCTCCAGGTGGTCTTGACCCTCCACTGTAAGCACTGTCCCAAAGCATTTCTGCATCAGCAGGATTAAAAAGTTATCAATTTCTCAGCTTTGGCCAAGTCAGCAACTGCAGTGACTTCTTTGTTTTTACACTACCTACCAGCAGAAATTTTACAACCCCTTCTTACTGCACCACAATGAGAGAAAAGCCCCTACTAACAGAAGCCCTCTGAGCAAGCAGCAAAAGGTGCATTGTTCAGTGTAGAGACTATTTGAAAATCTATCCATTACCTTAAAAGCCAGCACCCAAGTTTAACAGAAGAGACAAGGACAGCTTTCTTGAACTGCAAACAGGGAGCTCTGTGATGTTTTGATAGAGCATTGCTTGGAAGACAAAGCTTTGTGTCACACATCAATGTAGATGAAAAAAGAAACTGAATCTGTGCTGTGCCTCTGCTTGCTCAATTTCAGGTAAACAAGACTGTTAGGAAAACTTTAGTTTTTCCTTTGCTTTGCTGCCAATCAAGCTATGATGAGTTTTCACAAGCACTGCCTGGCTCCCTCCTGACCACACCTGCAGCAGGGCCTGGCTAAGGATTTACCTGAGACAAGAGCACAAACACAACGATTTAAAAGGTTCTGTGGCAGGATGATTGTTGGCACCGTGGCAGCAACCACCAGCCAAACAAGAACTGAGGTTCCTCCTGTGACTCACTGGGCACCCCAGCACTGAGAGCTCACAGCCAGCAGCAGGAGAGGCCTCCCAGACATCACCCCCACAGCACTTCCAGTGCTCGGCACAGCTGAAAATGCAAACCAAGGTTCCAGACAAAGCATTCACTATTTACAGGCTCCCAGCAGCTGAGAAGAGGCAGCCAGCTCAGCAAGCCTTGCTCTGTTGGAAATGAGGAGAGAGACAACATTCTCCTTGGCAAGTAACAGCACAGGCCAACAGTTCATGCTCAAATCCTGAAATAATTCAATCATTTCAGCTTCTGTGTACATAAACTCCTCCACACACAAATAAAAGAAATGAGAGAGAAATGGGGCAAAAAAACCAAGTGGGTGTGGGCAAATGAATGAATTTAAGCTGTGATTCCACACAGCAAGCTGAGCTCCTGCCAGCTGAACCAGCACTTGCAGAGCAGCACAGCCCCAGTCCAAACCTGGCTCAAATCACCTGAGCCTCCTCCAGCAGCTGCACTGAGACCTGGGATCAGCCCGTGCTCAGCATTACTGAATTTGCACAGCACACCTCAAAAGACTGTCAAGAGTTTCAGGAAAATACTCCACATTTTTTCTCACATGTTCTAAAGACAGTTCCATGCACCTCAGAGATATCATCCTATGTGAATTCTTGAAAGAAACAGCCCACAGTCTCAGAGATGGGATAAATGTGATGAAGTGTTTGGGGGCTTTGCCAAGTTGCTGATTAAAACAGACCAAAGAAGCTGCACTTCATTCTAGCTCCCATGGAGAAAAAACCAGCAGGTCTCACTGCACTGCCAACCCTGACAAACACCTGATTTACTGTGCAGCACCAGAAGGCAGCTCCTGCCCCAGGAACAGCTCAGACTATCCTTTCTGAGACCGCTGGTTTTGTTTGTGTGCCTCACTCTGTCCTGAGGAGTCACGGCTCCTCCTCACAGTTTCAAAAATCCAAGCTTCCAGCTCTTCTCTCCACCAGAGCTGCCAACTCTTTTTTTCCAAAAGCACACTAAACCAGAAATAACAAACATGAGAAAGTTTGCAACTTACTATATAGTTAAATTGCTGCATTAAATATACAATTACTAGCCAGCATAAAACTTCCTCTTCTAAAATGCAGCGTTTTCTGTGCTACTGTAACAACTCCACGCCGGAGTGCGATCCCATGTAACCTATTTCTTTCCTTTTCAAAATACAAACATAAAACGATTGTAAGGCAGGGCACAGACTGGTGTTTGTTACCGTTTAGCTCATAAATCACAGCTGGACGTTATCAAATCACAACAACGCTGCCTTTCACGGTGGGATCCCTGTCCCGCCCTGTCAAACGCCACCTCCCCTGGCAGGGACACAGAGCACGGGCTCTCGAGTGACAAACAGCACCGGAGCCCGCGGCCGGGCACCAACCCTGCGGGAAACAGGCCAGCACGCCCCCATTAATCCCGAGCAGGAGCCGACCCGTACCGAAGTGTCTGTCCCAGCGCACGGATCGCTGCCGGGATGGAGCCCCGGGACACCGCGGGCACCGGGCGGGCGCGGGGCCCCGCTCACACCGCGGCCACGGGAGGAGGAGGAGAGGAGAGCGAGGAGGAAGTGGAGAAGGCGAGGAAGAGGAGGAGGAGGGAAAGAGGAAGAGGAGAAGGAGGAGGAAGAGGAGAGGGAGAAGGGGAATAGCCGAAGCCCCCGGCCCGCCGCGCCCCCCGCCCGCAGCTCCTCGGGGGCCGAGGCGCGGCCCGGGGCGGGCGGGCCCCGCTGGGCGCGGGCGGCGCTCACCGAGGCAGAGCTCGCAGACGTATCCGTAGTAGGACCAGAGCAGGAGCAGCGCGATGAGCAGCACGGGCAGCCAGGCGAAGGCGCGGCGGCAGCAGCGCAGCCCCCGCCACAGCGCCATCCCGCCGCCCTCAGCGCCGCGCATCGGCGCGCGGCTGCGCGGGCTGGCCCGGGGCCGGCG